CACATTTTCAAAATCACTTATGCTTATATTTACATCCCTTCCAGGCTGAAACATTGGAGAAATTACTGAAATATCATCTTCGCCATCACAGAGCAGCAGAAAGCATGTAGGAGCTTACAATCCAACATAGCCAATAAACTACTGACTGTTTGGGTAGAGACAGAAGCTGAGTGTTTATGAGAGGTAGTTAGCATCTCCAAACACTGACAAGTAAACATTGCCGTTTTTAACCTTCCACGAACCAAAATCTCCAAGAGCTCAGGTAATACAATTTATATTCCAGTCAATCCTATTTTAAAGAATCCATTAATAAATTGATAGCGTGCTTACCAGGCTGTTGCGCTTTCCTTGATCTCTGGATGGAGAAAGAGGTGGCGGAAGAGAAATGCAAAAAGTCATCCTTTACCCAATCTTCGCAGGTGCCAGGGAAACCTGAGCTGGCGAGGCAGAACGCAGCCTGCTTCTGGGCTTCGGTGGGCACAAGGTTTTACTTGCCCCAAAACAGGACGGGCTCTACAGTGCTCCTGGTAAGCTGAGCAGCAAAGCTGGGCTCTCCAGCATTAGGCCAAACCCCTCTTCCTCAGCCCTCGAAGAAATTGAGGTGCTGGAGGGAGAGGGGGAACGAGAGGTGTAAAGGTTCTCCTCTTTCTACCAATATGCATAGAAATATCAGAACTTCAATTGCTTAATTCCACTACTATAAAGTACCTGCATTAGGGCTCCCTACGTCAGGTAAAAATAAAAGGAGGCTTCACATCTCTTTGTAAGCATTGTTTTCTCACTACTGCAAACATATATGTATTTATATATAATAACTTGCTTCAACAACAGAGGGTAGCTCCTACTACAGTCGCTCTTCTTGAAGTCAGTGTCACTGTATGGATCAGCTGTTGAAGGCACCGAGACAGCTTAAACTAATTACAATTTGCAGGTAGGGTGGTAATTGCCCTTCTAACTGCCTAAATTAGGCATACAAATGCATGGTTGCATTTGTATAGAGGCTGACAGAATACTCTGTGCCAGCTGAAAATTCAGCCCTGAATAGTGGTAATGTTCTTATCTAAAAATTACTTTTATTTGCTTAACGCCTGACAGTGTTACATGTATTTCACTAGATATTTAATTAGTTTGTTTTCATGGTGATCTCATTTGCATTTTAGCTTTCGTTACTGACGGCAAAGAGCAGGTTTCTGGCTTTGTGCTTAAAACCGGTCTCAAGGCAAAGAACGTGGCACCAGTTTGCCTTCACCCTTCCAATGTCAGCTGCACAGAGCACTCAGCCAACATTTTAGGCTCTCAACAGCTTTTGTGTTTTTAAAGTACATTCTAGCTAGCCCCTGTTTTGTCTCTGATGGCTGGCTTTCAGAGGTTGTAAACAACCATCTCACAGTGGAGTTTTCAGTTCCTATTTTTGAAACAGCAACTATTTTTCTGCAAAATACAGGTCAAGCCGTCCTGTTGAATCTGCAACAAATTCACAAACAGGTGCTCTCAAGCACCTGTAATCTCTCCACCTTTTCTCTTTGAACAAAATAACCTATAAAAGATTAACCATCTTAAGTCCATGAATGCTTTAATAGCTTGCCATGAGAGTATGTTTATGAATTCTAGGTACAGGTTTGTGAATGGCTGGACCACTCAAGCCTGGACTCAGCTAGGAAGTTCATGTGATTCAAATATCGACATAAGGAGAAGAGTTCAGCTCCAACCCGTGTTCCAGACTTCCTCCGGTGTCTTGGCCCACTTCTGGCTTCTTCAGTAGCTCAGTGGGGCTTTTTCTCATTTTTTTAAGCAAGCAAACCAACTATTGCTTCCTTATGCATCACCCTGCCTCAGTACGAGCTTTAGTCCATGTACTCCCTCCAAAGTACCACCTGAGAGCTATACAGGCTCCTTTAACACCATTTATAGTGTGAACTTCAGAGCACCATTCTGTATTTCAACTAGTAACAAAGAGAGATGGGTAACACAATACATAATTTTCTCAAAATGTCGAAGGGCATACTTAAATAAATTCCATGGCAATGTACATATAGCACACCTACTCAAAGGAATTTTCTTCTTGGAGCAGTACTACCCGGAACTTCGAGATACACATACTAAAAAGAGAAGCGAGCCAGCATGCTGCTAGAAAACTGCATTCTCCTTGAAAGTTTGGATCAGAACAGTGAGACATCCCCACCTAACACCCACCCAACAGAAGACCCTTTCCTTTGATAGCTGTTCTTCAAGTTTAAGAAACACCAATTTAGAACAATCGTTAAGAATAAGGATTCTTGTAGCAATGAGCACAAGCTCATTGAACTGTTTGATTCTGTGCAGCCTACAAGAACAGAAGGTTGTGTTTTAAACAAAGATCATCTTTTGACCTCCTCTTCAGAGAGTTCCAGTCTCTCTGAACGAAAACAATTCTTCATCGTATGCTGAATGCGTGCTGGCTAACTCTTTAGCACAGTGGTAAGTGAATGAGAGCTAGGTTAGAAAGAAATGTTCTTTTTATCCCAAAGTTTGTTCTTTAAAGAGTTGCAGAACAGATCCTATAGTTCTACTGATAGAGAAATCTCGGCATAAAAACTTGAGAAATTATACTTAATTCAACTAAACTCTCTCTGAATTGAAGTTTAAAAAATTATTCAGGAGATTTGAATTGTTTGTATCGTGATTGAAGCTAGGTATTGTACAAAACCAGATGACTACTGTTACTCAACAAGGCACATCCCATAGCGGCTAGATGGTAAAAGCATTATTGTTTAAAATTTTAGTTTTGAGAACCAGTCTCACCTAAAATTCAAAAGAACACCAATAAAAATGCTCCCCCCAAATTACATACTTGTTCTAATGCTACAACATGTGCACATATTATTGGAAATGGAGAAGGTGGAGGCAAGTCTCTCATTTGTAAAAATTCCTTATTTTTGCTTGTTTCTGTTACTCTGGAGCCCCTCTCTCACTTACAAAGCTCGCTTCCCCCTCTAATCTTGTTCTGTCATGTACTCAAGTTTCTTGCTGCTGTGTGACAGTCGTAAAACTAATAAGCACACTCTCCCACTCCATTATCCACTCAAGTCAATAGAAATGCTGAACAGACCCCCGGGGAGCCCCACTCAATATGACCACAGTGGATACTAATAAGATTTGCTGTCCAATGGGTACAGATAAGCCAGTTTTGTATTTGCTCACTAGTAGCTTCCCCTCTGCTAGCAACCTCTTAATACTGTCATGCAAGACAATGCCTTACTAAAACTGGGTCAGACAATTGCTACTATTTTCTCCAGTATCCAAAAGACTTGTTACACTGCTCTAGGTACTTAGGTTGAGAGCAAGTGGTCAAATCAGCAACTCGGTGTTAATTATTACCTATCAGCTTGTTATTTTAACCCAAAATGTCACTGTTTTCACTTCTCTCTATCTCACTGAAAAACTTCTGGTCCTCTGACAGTCAATATCCAAAGAGCAGTTAAGGGCTTCAGTACAATCCCAAGATACACACAGGCAGTGTATCCTCTCACCTGTTTGGGACCGAGTGTGCCTTCAATTAACTGCTGCTGGAGTACATCACCATAGAGCGTAGTCAAAGAGCTGTGGACAAAGTAATGAATACATTGACCATTTAAAATCATCTCATTTAATTACAAGGAGACTGAGCTGCCCTTTTCCTCTTAATGCTAATGTAAGATTTTTTTTTAACAGTACACCTATTTTTTAATAAAAATAGGGGCATCTCATGCTGAAACTTGACATAATGGGTTAAGATAATAATGCATCCAGAATGCAGGAGGGTGTCAAGTCACACTGGAGGCAGGCATGGTCTTCCTCATTCTTCTCCTCCTTTGAGAGTTAGCAAGACTGAGCAGAACTAGTTCCTCCATTAGAAAGCTGTATGCAACAAATGAAGAGCAGTAGGACTCAGCCCTCTGAACAATCATTTTCCATTCATTTAGCAACAACAGAGCTGTGCAGTAGTGGTAATGACAAGATTAGGCAATACAGTAAGCACTAGAGGTTCAATTGGTTTTGAGTGCAAGTGAACTTGATGTAGAAGCTAAAATATAAATAATTTGGAAATTAAAGATGACCAGAGAAATGATAGCCTGATATTATCATAAGTTTTCATGGAGTGAACAAGGTTGAAGATGTCCTTCCAAAAATAACAAAGAAACCAAAAACTGTTGTTGATTTTTTAGCACAGCATTTATTGAATAGTTCATTTCCTAGAGCCATTTTATTATGTAAGTGTCAGTGCATATTTAGCTCAGCTGTTTATTTTGAATGGATAAGGACAAAATACCCATGGATACACATACCCAGGGGAAGAGGGGAGAATGGTGAATATATTAAGAGAAAATAAGTTCTGGTCTGGCAGATTCAGGCCTACCATCTTATAATGCTTTATTAGGAATAGCTATACAGCTAATCAGAGTACACTTGTAGGCTGGAGCCCAACACAACGCTTTTTATGTGAAAAGACAAAGTAGACTCTCATAAAAGCCTGTTTAGCAAAGCCACAAGCAGTGTTATTTTAAACAGTTTATTTACATTGCTTGGATTGGCATAAAGAGATATAAAAAACAGTTAAGTCTGACACATTCAAAAGCATCACTAGTTACATATAAACATAAGACAAGACACTGGTGGTTAAAAAGAAACCAGAAGTTGAGAACTCCTGCTAATACAGACACACAGTTAAACTGTTAATGAAATGCAGAAATATACATATTTAGATAGTTCCTGAGATAGCATCGCATCATACTAACTGTTCAGAGATGAAAGAAGTGAAGATATAGTTTTGAAGGAAGACACAAATACATGAGAAAGCCAAGTAAAAGCCTTAGGAGTACTACACCTGAAGTTTGACACACCAAAATGGGGCCTTCAAGTTACAATGCCACACCAATAACCCCATACATTAAATAATGATTTGTTAACCAAGTATGTGGAAGGTGTGGGGTTTTGGAGGTTTAACAGCCCTGCTAAAAGGGAGTGTAATTATTTTCCTCAGACTTCCACTTCAAAGAAATTCAAAGAATTCAGTTAATAATTTTTGGTGGTCAATGCCAGTCATAGCCTTTAAACTTACTGTTCTAATAAACCCATATAACAGACCACTGTGTTACAGTGAGGCTGCAGAAGACCATAATCACAGAACTCAATTCTATTTCTTTATAAACAACTACATTTATAAAATATCTGGAATAAGCAGCTGTACAACAGGTTAACTGTCATACTTGAAAGGTCAGGTACTTCATAATGCATCTCCATTTAAGAAATCAACAATTCAAACATCAGAGTGCTCTGCTAGTTGATGACTTTAGGCAAGCATAAGAGTCACCCAAACTAGTGGTAAGTTATCTGATCACCACCTTCATTTAAAAGTCTGACAAACTAGTTTATTGCCTAGAGGGAACAATTACCATGGAAGAAAATGCTTCCACTATGTTGGTGAGAAAATAAATTTGTGCAAGGGAATACTGTCTCTTAAATAAAGACCCAGTTACTTATTCCACTGATTAGCTGATCTGCTTCAATACAACTAAAACCCCCTTATGATTAACTTAGTGTTACCTAACATTTTGCTAATCATTGCTAAGTGCTAATGACTAAGGTACCATTAATGTCAGTAACAGGTCATATGAACAGCCAGCTGCTTGTCAGTCTCTACAATACAGCACTGTATTTTAGACCCGCTTCATATCAAGTGGGTTGTTGATCGACTTAACGTATGACTCCTTTTTTCAAAGATTGAGGGAAGACTGACCAAGGAAGGAGAAGGAATACCCTGTTGGGGGAAAAAAAAAAAAATTATTTGATCATTTATTAGCCATTGTCAACAGTGCAGTAGTCATTTCTCAACCCTGATACATAGTATAAAGAATGTAACAGTACAGAATATCTTTAAGACTGGCAGCTTTTGAAATTAATGATTCAGCATTTCTAGATTTTGAACAGAAAAGTTAGACAGCACCAAATGAGTAGAATGCATATATTTTTAAAAATGCAAGGGAAAGATTTTTCCTTGTTACCAGCCTTGAGAGATTAAGAATGAAAGAACATGGTTTTGAAGACTAGCTGTTAGCCAAGTATTTGCATACAACTTGCATCACACTTTTTGCAATAATACTCTCCCTCCAAATTGAAGGCAAGACACATTATGATAATCTCTTAGAGAAATGGAGCTCCCCCTCAGATGCCACAACTTTGTGTTCTTACCAGCTTGGAGCCCCACTTTAGACACTGAATACATGCCTTCTTGGATACAGAAGGCAAGAGACATCATAACGATTTGTCAAAGCTTGCTTTAGCTGTGCCTGGGTGGGCACAAACTAGGCAAAAAGCTGACTTTTCTGGTGCTAGCAGCATAGCCTGCTTCTGGGACTTAAAATTACAGTGGTAGCACTAAAAGTTAACCTCTTTGGATCAGCTGAGATTTTTATATTCTTTTTACATTAAACCTCAAGATACTTTCACAAGCAATCTTCCCTTGCTCTTTATAGCTCAGCCAAGCTTTTCAGCGTATAAACAGGTCATGGTAGTTAGGCAGCCTGCTGCACCTGCATGCTTCGAGAACCTTTTAAATAGGGATATTTTGAGCAGGTAAGGATATACCACTTCACTACGAAGTCTAATGCCTGTTTATGGCATGTCTTCTACTTGCAGTCATAGGCAATGTTTGAAAATTAAATCCTAAACTCTTCTATATAGCAGCTCTTATTAGACTCTAAAGTATTTTATACAGGGTATTTTTTCTATTTACAGGTGGGGGAACAAAAACTTAAAACCACAGGTAAAATTAGCTGCTCAAGACTCCTCTGCAACCAAGTTATTAAGGTCCTCAGAACTCTGGCCAGTGAGCTACACTGCCAGTTGGACAACTGAACTGAAACAGTAATTAATTCTATTGTATAGAAATGAATTGAGAAAAAAAAAGCAGAAAAATTAAAAGGATTTGTGAAAGAATTAACTTTGCAGCCAGAACCAGAAGTAGAACTAGACCACATGTGCGTGTTGACTGCAACCCCATACATTAGAACAAGTCAAAGAAACACCCAACACCATTTAAAACACTTTGTGGATTCTAGTGTTTTATACAGTTGTACCGTACTGTCTTAGTTTAGAGGAATCAAGATTTTTTGCTCACTTCATGCAAGACTGGCATTAACAGTCAGGATTTGATGTACAGAATTTTTCAGCACCACATTGGTTATTATCTCCAGCATCACCAGAAGTGGTAGTAATAATAAGGATAGGACGTGATCTGTCCGAGGCATGACCATTTAAGCTTTCCAAGTTGGAAGAGGTTTTTCCTTCTACAGCATTTGAAAGACGGCTATTTGGAGAGCCAGAGCACAGCACAGGTCGAGGCCTGGAATTTTGAGAGCTCCAATCAACAGAACTGGAGCGATGAACATTAACAGCACATTTGACAGATCCATTTAGGCTGCACGTAGAAGATGAACGAGCAATCTACAATTAGGCAGGGGTTCAAGAGTTAGTCCAAACAAGAAAAAAAAACCAAGCATCCAAGCTTTATTGATATTTTTACTCTATAGTTTTTCTACACCAAAAAATCTCCACATAAGCACAGGCCAGGATTTCATTTAAATAAAACAATATCTCTGAATAACAGCTTTGAGCCTCTCAATGGACTCAGACAGGTTTCCTGCAGCTTTAGTTTCCTACTCAGGAACTGCACTGGTATCCCAGCTTGAGGGGCTGGAATCCAAACCTCTCTTTTCCCCCTCAACCTTATGATTCAACCAAAAAGGCTTTATGCAAGTTCAGCGGTGTGTGGGATTGGTTAAAAAAACCCCACACATCACACACAACATATGATCTGCTGCCAAGCTGCAGCTTACTACCTCAGGGGTCCAAGGACTCTGGGAACAATTTAAAATAGGAAAATATTTTTCACCGCTTTAAGTTCCTACCATTTTGTGGAAAAAAGTATTTTTGTATGGCGTAGACACACACAAAGAGGAAAGCGCATGACTTGCATTTTCATGAGAAATGAGATACAGTGCTGTATCAAAATGAAGACGGAATATTAGACTTCAAAAACAATCGTTGGAGCAATCATAATTGAAGGAAGAAAATCTCTACAGAGAGCTGGGGTATAGCCACACTGGTAGATTTTCTTATTTCCTCTAAAGCAAGGGAGTCTATTGTGATACTTCCTCCCTTATTAATCCATATTTTCTCATGCCTATCTCATGTGGGAGAGCAGGGCAATATCTTTATGTTGTATAATTTAATGGCCACTCAAACATATTGAATTATCTCTATTTTAAGGTACTGACACATGAAGCAGTAGTACAAAGATACACAGGAAATACTGTTCTTAGCTTTCTGTTCTACAAACTACAAAACTTTCAAGTAGATGCTTACTTAGCATACAGTTTTACTCAAACACTAGAATAAAAGCAAAGGTCATCAAATCATTGAATGGCTTAGGTTGAAAGGGACCTGAAAGACCATCTAGTTCCAACCCCCGTGTCAGGGGCAGGGGCACCTTCCACTAGACCAGGTTGCTCGAAGCCCCATCCAACCTGGCCTTTAACATTGCCAAGGACGGGGCATCCTGGGCAACCTCTCTGGGCAACCTGTCACAGTGCCTTGCCACCCTCATATAGTGAGGAATTTCTGCCTTACATGTAATCTAAATCTACCCCCTTCCAGTTTAAAGCCATTACCCCTTGTCCTATCGCTACCTGCTCTTGTAAAAGTCCCTCTCCAGCTTTCTTGTAGGCCCCACTTAGGTACGGGAAGGCTGCTCTAAGGTCTCCCCAGAGCCTTCTCTTCTCCAGGCTGAACAAGTCTCTCAGCCTGTCTTCATAGGAGATTCATAAGATAACGAAAAAATTCCTCCAAATCTAGTCTGCTTTACTAGACTGTAGTAGGAAATTGAGTTTGACCTAGTGTAGCAGAAGAAAGCTGCAACAGTTAGCCAAGCATAGCAGAAGAGTTGCAGTATGTAGAACAATACGTTATTGTACCAAGTTTTCTTAAACATGTAAAAGGAGATAATTCTCTTGCCTTTTTAAAAACTCTCAGGGGGCAGCATCTGTATTTCTGTACCCTTCTTTCCCAGTCTGTTTCACAGGATGTCTACCATCTCACTACTCTCATTGACACTTTCATCATACTATTCAGGGTTGTACACCACATTTGTAAATATTGTCCAAAAATCAAAAGCATGAGCTAACACAAGATAGTGTGCTAGAAGCTTCTCACCCAGAAGAGGATACATACTCCATCTCTGGCAAAAGAGGCTGGGTTTTTTTTTTTTTTCCAAACTTAATTGTACAAGGCAACTCCCAATTTCTAGTACATACAGCAGATTTTTCTGCATTTTCAGCAAGTAAGCCTTCTCATTAAACAACTCTTGCTCAGAAAATAACACGTCTATGAGTGTAGTTAAAAATAAATTTTTCCACTGTGGATCTTTAAATTGTTAAAGCAAGATCAACACCAGACATTAAAATAACTGTGATCTTAAAAAGGTTACTTATTTGGCCTGCGCAGCCAAATCACTTACCGCTAATGACGATGTACTAGTCAGTCGGCTGCCTATATAACTGTCATTAGCTGAACTGGGACTTCTTCCTTCTGTTGCACTGTGCGACATTAAAGCCCTTCGAAGAGCTCTCTTTGGTGTTTTCGAGAAAGAAAATGCTCTTGTAACCTGAAGAGTTTGACAAGCAGTTATACAATGACAAAAATCAGGCTGTAATAACTACTACAATATAGGCTAGCATTCAAATTTTGAACATCTGTAGGGTGTGCATCAAATGTTAATATGACTCTATCAAAACTAGGCAAGCAAACACACCCACAAGATGATCTGACTTTTAATGCTTCCCATCAGCCCTGCTCTTCTCATTCTGTCCAAATATGAAGACAACACAGCAGGGGGCAAAACAGAGATTCAGGGAGAAGTCAAAATAAAGTCTAGTCAACTAGGCTTCCTCACATCCCTTGGGTTCTTCAAAGTCAGGTCTCCCCTCCTTTAAGTTACTCTCAAATTTCGTCTTCAACGGCTTCCAAACTACAGCAGCCTCCACAGTTTTCTCTAAGAAACAGTATTATCACCTTCAACATACTAAGCCTGCTGCGAGGCTGCTGAGAATGGGGAACAGATTCCTCCTTGCTGCACCGTTCTGTCATGCCACAAACTTTAGCAGAACCAAACCCAGTGCACGGCCAACATGACGGAGCAGACAGGCAGCCTTAATCCTGCCTCCCAGCCAGGTCCTCCGAGCAGAAGAGGGCACAGTTTCTCAGTCCATTAGTTGAAAGTATCTAAGCCATACACAAGGGAAAGCATGCACAGGCAGACACCAGCATTCAGCGCTTACTTCCTTGCTATTTCGAAGTCTGTTTCATTATCAGGACACGCATGCTCTACACACCCATCCTACTTTTGAAGGTACTTGTATTTAGATAATTGCAGGCAGCTTTAAAACTCCATTCAATATGCTAAGAACAGTTAGAACAGAGGGTTGGGGGTTTTTTGTAATATATTTAAGAGATTCAAAATATTAAACAAAGTAAGTTCTGTAACAGACTCAAAAATGACTACATAATACTTATGACCATAATACTATATACAGATACTCCAAAACTACTCAGTCAAAACCTCAAACGCTCCCCACCTTCTTTCTTTAAGGAGCTTATACTTAAGAGTTTTAGTTCAGATTAAGTTTTTCCTGTCACTGCTGTAAGTACTACAAAACACCTGAAACAGGAATAGTAGCACAACTCCCTGACTAAAATGGGGTTTACTGTAAAGTACCGTCTTTGTAGTATCTTACCTTTTTTGATGTTTTCTTTATTGCCCTGGACGCTCTGCTTAAAGTACTGTCCATATCTTTAGTATTTACTTCAACTGAATCAGGATCAGCAGTATAAATGAGATTTTCCTATTGACAAAAATAGTCTTAATAATGGTCAACAAACATCAGCACTTGTCAAAATATCATTCTCTAGTTCAGTAGGTCAGATTTAGATGTTTTAATTGCCGTACGCCTCCATATTTACCTCAATATACAGTTAAGTAGCTATTTGCTTTCATGCCATTTCATTAGATTAACTGCTGGTGCAATCAGTTTATGAAACCACTTCATCAGTAGTTCTACATTTGTTTTGATTGATTCAGTTTCAAATTCAGGCTTTACCAAAGTAAAGGCAATCATTTTGAAGTATACCTAGAGAGTTTCACATACCTCTTAGTTTCACTAACATATCTATCTCTTTTCTGAGGTGAAATCTTGATAGATCCAGCTGTCAAACATTAAGACTAATTCTTTCAGCTTAAGCCAAATAAATGTTTCAGACTAGCCACAAGTTTGGGGTTTTTTTCATGCCTCATTCTTAAACTCTAACATGTGCAAAGCAATCTCTAGCTAGCTACTTACAAAACATGGGGGCAGGGGGCACGCATGGGAGTGGGAAGTTGGGGGGGGGTAGTTGTTGTTTTGGGGTTTTATTTTGAGAAAAGGCAGTTTACCTAAAAAAAAAAAAGTTTTTTTAGGGGAAAAAAAAAATCATAAGGACACCAGACAGCAAGCTGAGCTGTGTAGCTATTCCTAGTGTCTTAACAGAGTAGTTAAAGCCTTTACTGCCACCATGTGGCAAAGTCAACACTAGCTCATTCTCACATGATGCCAGAGTTCTTGAAAACCAGCAAAAACGGGAACTGTGCTTAAATTGAAGCTCAATTTGACATTAAAATCGGCAAGAAAAAAGTATTATATAGTTGGTACAAAGCAGCAGTTACAGAAATTGCAGCTAATGGGATTCAGCATAGTAGGTTACAAGTTGTCAGCATATGATTGTGAATGTCCTGGGGCAGGAGGGAATGACACATTTATTACACAAAGATATAATTTATATTAAAAAACCCAACATTTTTCCATCCCTTTGTGTTATACTTAACACAAAAGACTAAAGATAGGTGACAGACAGATCAAAGTTAACTCTTCTGAATCAGTACTTTTCCTACTCAGTACCAAAAAAGGAAGGAAAAGCACAAAGCGAAGTTTCTTATTTGTAAGTCCCTAGATAACAAGCCAAACAAAATAAAACTAAGATGCTATTTTGATTACTTAACTACCTGTCCTGAAACAAGCATGTCTTTGAAAAATCACAAACAACCAAACAAGTAAGAGTACAATGCAGAACATAAAACATTTCTAGCTTAAACCCAAGTTGTTTCAGCTATATGTACTTCACATTTTCAGCAAATTTGGATGATTGACACGCATACACTCTTACATAATTAAAATATTAGCTGAAAGTCTCTTGCCCTAATTGGAGAGGATCTCCTCCTCAAATTATTAGTTTTCTGGCTGCAGAAAGCCCACACATTAAGCTTCTAAAAATGTGAGGCGGCCAGTGTCTCCTTTATTTCATTGTTTTCTTTATTTCCTTGTTTTAAGGTTGTAGGCCTCTGTCTACAAAAGGAAGATGCTTCATGTCTCTTACATTATGGTGCCCATGCAAATAAGGTATAGAACAAAGAATTCAGCCTAACACAGTTAAACCAAAACATATGATCCACAATGCTGGGATTGTAAATTGAAACATAGCTGTGAAAGCAGCAAGCTGAAGACAATTCTGTTTAGATCTGCAGTGCAGAGCTTAAGTTATTTATAATTAATCTTTGATAGGGGAAGGGCATTATTCTTGATTTTTAAGTAATTAGCTTCTGTAGAAGATAACTTCCAGGCTGTTTCCTTTTCCACTTTTTAACCACTTATTTGCAGACATGCTAGCAGAAATGTTTTCTGCTCTACTTGACCTCAAGCATGTCCACTATTAACAAGTTCTTCAGCTTCATATGCTTCAAGCCAAAAAGAGAGAAATATTTCCAATCAGCAACACGGTTCCAGAGTACTTACTGCATCTGCTTTACATATAGTGTTAGCCACGTGCCGACACAACATCTTCAACCAGTCCTCTTTAGGAGGTTCTTCAGCTGTCATCTGGAAACTGAGTAGTTTGTTGTTGAGTTCTGTAGGTGGCCGCACAACTAAGGCAAAAGCTTTATGGCAATCTACAGTTTTTTAAAAAAAGAGGCAAGACACAGAATAATAATTTTTCTTATAATTCAGGGGGGAACCTTCAGAAGAGTTAACCCTCCATCTGCCAGGAGCTAGATTTAGGGACAATATGATTTCGTGCAAGGATTTTATCTTTATTTACATGATAGCTGTTGTATTACTTGCCAGAGCACTGAGTTCTGTCTGCATCCTTCATCAAGAGGCTGCAATCAGCTGTTCATGCAACAGCTGTTTATTCACCAAACTAGTCTGTGGACTAGTCAGTCTTTACTGGATACAGCAGTAAATATCAGTTTCGTTCTCTAACTCATGACATGTTGGACAGATCATTTCTTTATCAACAGAGAACAAAGAAAACAGCATTTACCCTATTTTGTAAAGCAGAAAAAAACAACAAAGACATCAGTACTATATATGACACATTAAAATAGGCAAGTTACAACAGTTTTACTGTTTAAACTTGACAAAAATTGCTCACTTGATAGCACAAGAGTAATCCATTGCTGATACCCCTTTACAGCAGACACAGCTGAATCACGCTAACCAATTTAGAAAAGCAGCACTAGAAAATTAGTCCTATAAGGGAGTGTATATAAGAGTAGCTGACCTCTCCCAAGATTTGCATACTGAAGTTCTTAGCAAATATTAAATGGTATCCTTACAAACGGCTCCCATGACCCAAGTCCCAAAGTAACTTAAGTGTTGTACAGTAATTTAAAGAGAATTCTTAAAAGAGAAATCCTAAAGTACCTTTCAAAAATGCAGGTAGGCACTACATTTACCACTTACCCTCTTTGCCATTTCTATTTTTTATGGGGTTTCTATGTTCAGGTGCTTCAGAGAACATAAAGCAGAACGAGTACGATGTGCGTACCATCACCTACAGTGAAATATCAAATCTATCCTCCTAGGGTATAGATCTAGAAACTAGTCTGACTAGACTTCTTTAGACACCACTATGAAGGCTGGAACAATATTGTAGCATGAGTTCTGCTGCTGTAGCAATGCATTACTTCAGTGAAACCCCTACAGTTTCAGTATGGCAAAGCAGCCAGAGAAATTAAATCATCTAAATCTTTCTTTTAAGATGCTAAGCACAGCTCCTCCTGAGCATCATTATCACCAGTTAAATGAAGATTTGGTTTCATGGCAACAGCACTTGTCTCTGGTCAGTCTAATGCTCTGGACTGAAGTTTGGGGGTTTTGTTTTTATTTTGTAAATCCAGAGCTGTCAAGTATAGTCTGTTTAACTCACACTGCCATTTGGCTGGCTTATGCTAATGCCATCTAGTAGTTCTGCTAAATTCAGCATCCTACCGAGATTCTTGAAAAGCCAAAAGGTGTCAATGTAAGGAATTCTCAAGCTCATACAGAACTTCCAACAGAAGATTATAATAAAATCACATGCCTAACATACTATACAACAAATATACCTTAGCATTCCATCTCACAACAGCAGACCCTCATCCTTTATACTCTTTCATCAGCTATCATAGCACTTCAAAACATACAGACCTTCTGTCTCCCTGATGTCTAGGACTTTCTTGATCTGGGAGAGCGGCATGAGAACAACATGCTTGAGAGATGCAGGCGGCCTTGTGTGGCCATGTGGACTCTTGAAAGCACCAATAACTTTATGCCTCTTCCTCGCTATCTACAGTAAAATAGAAGACAAAGAGGTTAAAGTTAGAAGGTCTATTGCCATTTTTTTGTTTCTCTTCTACTCTTTTACCTTCTAGTATACAGGAAGGCACAGAAAGCCTTGCTACAGAAAGATACTCTAAAGAGTATTTTACTCTATTTACTACATAAATCTTGACGGAACTCATTTATCTCACTATTCACTGTCTGCAGCCCAGCAATACTTGTTACTTAACATCAATACACTCACCTCAAGAAAAAAAAAATTAAAAAATGTATCAAGAGGAGAAATAATTTTGCATTACAGACCTTAATTCTACCCTGCATAACAAGCAAGGGCCCTTTGAAACCTACCACAAGGTGGTCTAGATTTAAGCAGAAAAGACAATGTCTATGTGCATGAGCCAGCTTAGGCTGTGGTGTGTTATGTCCTAGAAATATCATTTGCTGTTGCTTGTGCATGCACCCATCAAGCAGGTTTTGCCATGGAGGTTGGTCAGTCAGTTTTTATTTTGCATTAACCTGTAAGTATCTTACATGCTTTTTAAGTAAGGTATCTTTGGTTGCTTGTATCTTGTACAAGAGATAAGCCAAGAAGCTTTATTAAAAGTGTCTTCACTCTCCTTTCCTTCCTTTCCAAGGCGTGATGAAGCTGCGTCAACCTCACTCCCAGGAAGAGTTCATCACTAGTCACAACAATACACTTTTGTCTCTAAGTGCTGCTTAAGACAGCACTAATTTTTGATTATTTTAGCGTCAGTCTTCTATGAAGACAATGGTCTTTACTGCTGTAGACAGTAAAAAGTACTTTCATACAGTGTCCTTTACAACCTCAGTTTCTCCACGTAAGTCTCCAAAACCCGGTTAGATTACCTTTCCCTCCTAGTTCTTCCTAACATACTGTTAGTCTAAGGCATTTAATACGTGAATTTTTTTTTTATTCTTTTGTGGCCTAAATACAGACAGACCTACCCCAGAGGTCCACGATTTACTCATATTAAATATGACTAAACTTTAAAAGGACAAGCATCCTGCTGAGCAAACTCCAGCACTTTTTCATCCATTGGTACTACTCAAAATGCTATTCAGATAAACATTTATTTCTTAACATATTAAGCTGCTTTTAATTTTTGGTCTGGCTGCAAGACATTAAAGGCTACATTAATACCTCTCAACCATCCAGAAGTGACTAGCTACTTGTGTTGGCTTATACAATAGCTAATGGAAAGGCAACATCAGCATGTGTTGAGCTATCAGCCTTCCATGACTTAGAATTCTGCTTCAAAGTTTTTAAATTTTATTTGTTTATATTCATATGTAGTGTCAAGCCTATTGTAATTCAGTTTATGAGACATACTTATATTGCCATCTTACCTCTAGGCAGTCATTGAACAGAAAGAGCGTGACCTGTTCTCCCCTGTCACAGAGGTCATCACCAAGTGCTACGGTTTCCAAACGCTGAACTAAGCTTCGGTGAGAGGACAAGAGATTGGCCTAAGCAACAGAAGCAAAAAGCTCATTAAGCATTTAGTTCAAGGGCTGGATTACTGCTTGCTTACAACTTAACACTGGAAATCTGTTTAAACCAGCACCATTGCATTTTAACCTCACATACTTTTGCAAAGGGAGCAATCTAGTGCACAGTCATTTTACAGGTCTGCAGCTTCAGAGAAAGTACTTACTGGACATCCATCAACTTCATAGACAACGTCAAAGAACTGCCTTTGTGCCTCTGTTTTTCTTTTGTCTTCATTAATATGTCTAAGGGAAGCATATGATATTTATCTTCAACATCATGCAACAATAAATGAGTGCACTGCATTTAAGACATACAAAAATAATGAAGCTAAACATTCAGAGATACAGTTCACACAGCAGCACTGGAAAACACAAAATTAACCACACTTGCTCACTGAAGTGTCCAAATACCATATGCTAAGCACATCGGAAACTTCAGAACCTCGAACAATATTCTTGTCATGTTATCAGTAGTTGACACACCATTCAGTTAATACATAATTCCCCTCCCCTGCCCCATAAGATTCTGAACTACAGACCAACCCAATGCAGTTCTTCACAGCCTGCATTTTATCCCCACAAGTCAGGACTGCAGCTCACCAAGAAGCAGATGCAAGAATAATTACAATTTAAAAGTTGTTGTTGAAATCAGACAAACATTTACCCAATTAATACAGGAGGTCTCATTGCTGGAGACATACGCTACACTTCAAAAAGAGGCGAGACTTACAATCTAAACAGCTTCAGCTTTAAGCTAATTAACTCGTGGAATTGTGCCAAGAATAGCTAATACAGGACCAGAAGAAAAACCAGTCCTTTCAGTGGATATATGCATAGAAGTAAGATTTAAAGACAAAACACATCTCTTCCACTCTGGAGGGAATAGATAGAAATTAGAATTGGAACAGAAGAGAGGACTCGGGAGGTTCAGCTTCATGCTGAGGCAGGGAGTCAGCAGAGGTCCAGGTAGAAGTGCTGGGTAACAACACCACAGATCGCTTCAAATGCCGTGTCACAAAATGCCAGTGACAACAGCGGACAAAGAGACTTAAGAACACATACAATTATGCATACTTACATGGAGACTAAAGTTATGGCAACACCACACTAAGAGCAATTTAAAAGGAACAGAGATCTAAACAGTGTATAACAGTATGGTGCATAAAATGAGCATCACTTACGTCATCACTTCCTTTAATGATTCAATAGCTCTCTCTAGAGTTATTTTGTCTGGGTTCTCTTCTGCTGTATGCTTCTTAATATCTACGATTATAAAATAAATAAATAAAACCCCCACACACATTATAAGCACCTGAAAAAAAATATGAAAAATTCAAGTTTAAACTGTAAGTCAGATGACTGAAGAAGTCACAGCTATCCTGGAGTCCAAATAGCCTTAATTAAGTGGGGAAGCAGGCTGAGCAGCAATATTGTCCTTGCATCTCATTAAGAAAAAAACCACCTACAACACAAAACCAAACCCTCAAACTATTAAAAAAAAAAAAAAAATCAACAAGACCATGAGCTCTTTGTGTTGAAGTGCAGAGACAAGCATAAAAGTCTTTTTCTAACTGAAGCAAAGGGAGGTGGTGGTGTGGTTTTTTTAATCATTATTTTTATTAATGTAGTCATTATTACAGCAAGTGGTTGATACCAGGTGGAACACATGAAGCTGTATGACTTGTCAATACTAACTGCTCTCTAGTTTATGCTAGCTGCATTTGAATCTCAGTTATATTTGGTATTTGAAGAGACAAAACTGTTGTCAGAGAAAACTTTTCCTCTACCTGTATCCTGCAGACAAATATATGAACAAGTGAAATTTAGCCAAAAGTATGCTTTCTTCAGTAATTGGTCTTGCTGACTGCCATTAAGCATGATTAACTTCCAGAATCAGGCTTGTTTTATATGAGAAAACCTGTTGTTAATTATGACATTATTTTGGTCTTCACACCTTCACAGACAAACTTATATTAAAAAAATAAATACATCACTAGATTACCATTTAGTAGCAGAGCAACACTAGGCAGCCTTTGAACAGGACGGATAAGGAGTTCAGCTAGGCTTTGGCGGCCACATTCAGGTTTAGCTTGGTTTATCTGGGGAAAAGAAAGGGGAGAAAGGAAGTAATTCTTACTTTTTTTTTTTCTCCCCCCCCACACACAAAAAAAACCCAAAAAATCACAAACTAGGAGAAAGATTGTCTTCCTTGAAACTAGCATCACAGTAAAAGTTTGAGAATCATTTACCACAGATACTCAGTCATTAACAGATCATGTTAAAAACACATTATATTCAAATCTGCGCAGTATTTATCACATGATTCATGTTCTCAGAATTTCTAGTTTTAAATTGTTCATATTATCAACCCCTCATTCCTTGTTTCAGATGCTAATGCTAACGTGGAGTGGGACAGGGGACAGCCTGATCTCTTATTCATTTCCCCATCTTTTAGATATCAATATTTGAATATAATTCCTGGTACCTCAGAAAACATGAGCTGAAATCTGTCATTTGATTACTCCACTTTTTGAGACACACTTGTTGGGTACAGAAGAGGACTTAAAGCTACACTGCATTAATAATCAACTATATACCTTTATCTGAAGAGCTCAAGAGTCTTAAGACTCATCTTCAGATAACTCTTTCTTTGAAGACCATCTTCCTGTTAGATCTCCACTGTTATGCTCCTATTCATTAGTCACAAGACTGTTAAGAGATTCTACCTCCCTGGAACTTCACAGCTGCTGAAAGCAAGTTAAAAGCTATTTCAGAAATACAAGTCTTTTAAACACAGGGAGGGGGACCAATAAAAAGCAGAAGCTCTAGTTATCTTTACAGAAAAGAGAAGACACCTATTTGGGAGAAAGTAATCAAAATGCACTTTTTCCAGCAACAAATGCATATAATTAAACTACCTTGAAAGTTGTGTAACAGAGGAGTAACTTGGACTTATCCAAGAGTCTTACAAGGAGCTCGAGGGATTGAAGATCAAATCCTTCCTATTTCTTTCTCACCAAGAGACGTTCACATTCCTCCAAGCTTCCAAAATTCCACATTCTTACATCTACTGCATTAAGTAGTTTACTTTGTAATGGTCTCCATGTTCTACTCGAAAACTTAGTTCTGCAGACACTTACCTTTAGGAAGGCATGAAACCTTGGCTTCTGTTTTTCACATCGAGTAATAGTCTCCTTGCTCATTTCGAAGAAATTCACAAATGGAGGGTAAGTTTTCAACAAGTCTTTTGACTGAAAGAAACAACTGTTATGGCTCTGCTTTACATATTATGTAGCATTGTACATATGTTCATATGCCCTGAGCCATACAAAACTGCTCAAAGGCACATTTCAATAGATAATAATAAAAAAATGTGTTGTAAACCCATGTGTGTTCACAGAACAAGTTAAGACATTTTTGCATGCCAGATGCCCAAGATTCTATGCTGCTGATTAAATGCAGACTGCTCTCAGAAACATCAAGTACACATGTTCCAATCTTAGAAGCTGCTGAGTAGGTCAAGTAGAAGGCAGATTCTCACCTAGCAAGATGCTTTTGGTGAGAATTTTGGAAATTTCAGACCGGTATTTTCTCCAGTTACTGCTATCACCTTTAGAAGACACCAAACCACCAGAAGCAATACCTTAGACTGAAAACTTCTGAACACCAAACATGATTTGCCTCAAAATGATCAGGTCAGCAAAAGCACAAGATACCTAGCAGACTACTTATCTTAAAATGCATTGCAGTCCCGATCTAGCTTTCCTGTTCTGCACATTGTGTACTTAGGAAAACAACAACTCCTTATTCAATCACACATGTCAAGTCTTGAAGGAAGAACACAAGAAATTTCCGTGAAAAGTTATTTTCTTAGTTATTTACTATTGATCAGAGGCAGCAGATAGCTAAGGTTACAGGAAAAGCCCCTTCTAACGTCCAAGTAAAAAGCATATCTGTAGTTTTGCAAATTACAGTTCTCAAACTGTATCTATCTTGAGTTTTACACTCTCGTTCAAGTGGAGAGACACATACACTTAAACTTGACACGGATTACCTATACGAAGTATATCATCTAACTCAACTTAGAAGTCTAAACAGAATATACGATACAAGTTAGTGTTCTTCCTCGCTCAGTAGTGCTTCTCTTGTGTTTGCTAGCTCCTACAAATGGATTATTTGTAAGGTGAGGTAATAGCTCATAATAGCTCTAATGCATAAAAAAGAAATAGACACTTACATATTTAAGAATGATATCACCAATACTTCTACTTTCAGTCCAATTCATCATAAGATCTTCCAGGTCTTCCTAGAATACATGCAGGGATGGAGGGGAAGAAAATAAGACGAAAATGAACTGCATAAAGCTTAAGATGGGATCAGTGTTCTGCCAAACACATATAATTAGCTGTGCGTTTCCATGCTGACAAAACGGGCAATCCTAAAAGCTGTACAATTTCACAGTAAACCCCTTCAATCTACCGAAAGCTGAAAGCAAGACCTCTGGCTTACTGAATATATAGTTTTGAATCAACGCAAGCAGAGCCTAGCAGTGTATCGGCACGAGCCAACTCTGCAACAAGATGACTCGGCTGTGTCCAATACACTACAGAACATTTCCCAAATGATTATTTAAAAAGCATACACAGAAGACAGTTGAACCAATTCTAATTAAGAGTGCACTGCTAATATAAGACTCTTAAGTCCATAAGATAGGATTGAAATAGAACTAGCATAGATTTCCCTCACTTGCTGCACCAGGGTGTCAAGGAAAGTGCAAGCAAGCTGTTAAGCCTATATCAGCTTGAGAAGGATCAAGCTTATTCACTGTCAGCTAATAACAGGGACAGGAGGGCACAGCCAAGGGTTCACGATTCACCTTAAGTGAAAAGGATTCACCATTAATATTGGTTTGTTGCTGCCACTTCTCTTTATTACACCGAAGATGAAGGAAAACACAACCACTACGCTTAAGCAACTTTGTCTACACTGCATGCTGCAGGTGAATCCTACTTGACACATGGACACACACGCTTTACTTTCATCTCAGTCTCAGTGGGCGCATATCAATATCTATCGTGATTAGCTGGACTGGATCCTAGTGGTTGGAGAAAAAAAAAAACCCAGAACAAACAAAAAACCCAACAACAATAACAACAAAAAAAACACAACAAAAAACCCAAACCACTGAGTTACAGGCAGTCTGCAAGTCCCGCTATTTTAAAAGCCTACCATGAAATGCAGACAGCAGCAGACATATGCCATTATTTGAAGATTTTATGACTTCATATTTGAGGAAGACTTGCATCATAGTCTATTGTGAGACCCAGAGATGACTTCAGAGAGTGCTTGCAATCCAGATAAAAATATAAAATAAAGAAAGCAAATCTCAAAGGGAATTCTAATCAATTATTATTAGGCCTCAGTACCAGGTCAACTGCTTCACAGGCTGAAGTGCAAGCCAGATTTATGAGCTGGTAGTTTCTGACAATTGGTTCAAAGCCATTTAACAAGGGATTAGTTTTTCCTACTGAACGGTAGAAGTGTCCTTATATGAACATGTCTATAGCCCAGGAAAACACCAGGGGTGATTTATTTTTTTGGGGTTTTTTGTGGTTTTGTTTGTTTTTTTTGAATTCCATAGCTTTAGCTATCCTTCCAAGAGTCCTTGCTTACTGCTTTAATAGAAACATGTATTTTATAAGCACTTGTGAGAGTTAGACTACCATTTGATACCACTGGCCCTTTTGACCAGTTTTATATCAGTTACAGAAAACCTCCTACAGGAAGTGGTATTAAAATGTGAAAAGGAGAAGCCAGCTCACGAATGGCAATGTTAGTTACATGTACAATACTCAGACCTCAGATATTTATAAATAAGCGTTAAATCTTAAAGCATACTTTTGATTTGCACATAATTCCACAGGTTGAACAGTATGTAACAGCACCAGGATGGCTCTACACCTATCCTGCAGATAGAACTTAACGCATGCAGAAAAGATTCAAAGTCTGTATCAAAGCTTCCCCTGCAGGGGAGAAGTTGCAGCTTGCCTTGATTTTAGTATGCACGTCAAGAATATCTGGAATGCTGCCAAATATGGTCTTAATCTCTTCCTGTGCAAGGATTGGTCCTCCAAGTTGTCCTTCCTTCTCCAACGGAACTTGAAATAACTGATGAATTAGACAAAAAAAGTTAATACCCTCCCAACCACCACACATTGTGTTAGAAATAGTTATGAAAGCAACAGTGTTTTCCTTCCAGATCATACTTTCGTGCAGTCACAATCTTGAGATACTCCCATTTAGCAAGAGTGGGTTACAACGGAGTCGTTTTAAGATACAAACACAGAGTCTGATACACCACTACAGTATAACCCTCTTTCATCTACCTTTCTCCTCACACACATCTTACCTCATTCTTTAAGTAGATTATCAGCTGCAATGGAAACAGACTTTCTAGAAGTTGCACTCTTCCTGTAAGCTGTTTGCTATTCTGCTCTTCTTGGAATAATTAAAACAAGTTTTTTTCCCCTGCCATCTCTCTCTATTCACTAATATCTTAAAAATCCGAGTCATGAAGATCCCATTTTCCTGAAGCTTGGAATTTCCATACAAACTGCAATTCCACTGCAGATCCCAGATTAGAAATGGTATTTTCCAACCTTTATTATTAACAGATACTAAACATTTTTATGTCAGTAAAATTACAGGAGACTGTTTACATTGTCATCTTTTTACAAACCTTTGATGTACCCAAGGCCTCAAAAGCCTGCAGATCACAGGCTGAAAATAATCATTCATGTAAACATTAGATGTCTTATTACAATTGACCTACAACTGCTTTAAAACCAGCTTACCTGAATGATTGTCGTTAGAATATCAACGTAGTTACTCTCTGTCTGATACAACTCCTTTGCAACCTGCCATCTTGCAGACTGCTTCAGTGGAAGAGGAGTTGAGTTTTTGGAAGGCCTTGCACAGGGTTTTGGTGTTTCTGATGAAGAGATATTCCCAAAAGAAAATAGAGCTTTATCACAATAGAAAAGCTCACCCTCAAAGACAGGAAAAAAAAAACCTTCAGAATTTTTAAGGAAAGATAGTTGGTTTTGTTTTGTTTTTTTTAAAGGCTATTCTGTAGGTTATTCTATAGTTGCCACAGCTCTTTCTAGAAAATGGCTTGCTTTATTACAGCTTAATGATAGAACAACAGTAATATATTATTCGTCAAAATTAGTCTGAAACTAATAAGCCATTCATGGGCAGGTCAATGACTTAACCCTACTATGTTTAGTAGGAAGTGAAGATTAGGTGCCTAAGATTATTTATACATACACTATGTACAAAAATACTTTTCTACTTTCACTTTGCTATGTAAACAATTACCTTTCAGCTGCCTACCAAACTTGCATTAGGTATGTAGCTCAAAACCATTTATTAAAATCAGTCCTTGCATGCAACACTTACATTTCATCCTGGGGGGGAAGACACAAAGAAGTAACTTCTCTTAAAGCTAAAGCCAAGGTGGATCTGGAACAGTCCATTAGCTTTAAATATTTGCTCATGTATTGGACCTCAGAGACCTGTACTCACTCATTCTGATGTCAAAGTTCATTACTGTCACAGTTAATATGAAATAAGTACCTTACCTGTTGTTTTCAAAATAGCACTTTTTCTGAAACTGTCTGCTGATGTTGATTAGAAGAAAACTCCGTCCCAGGGGTTACAAGTATGCTAGCACAATCTAAGAAAGCTGATCTTTGAGACTAAGCAGATTTTTCCTGTATTCCTTCTGAATTATCACTTACAGGTTGTGCCTCACTGAGATTTCTTATTTGACTTGTATATAGGGGCCTTTTTAAAGCAGTAGTAACTGCAGTTACCTCCTCTATATAATGGAACTGGGGCTTTTTTTTTTTTTTTTTTTTTAAAGCCTTGGGTATTAGCTTTTGACTTATCCAAAATTTTGCAGTGCCCACTCTTCCACAAGAGCCATGTGCAGAGATATTAAAAGCTCTTTGCTAGTTAACTCAAAATCAGGTGGCAATTTATATTCTTGTGAAGTTTTAGACATGACAATTTGCTGGCACAAACAGTGTTACCTCAACAGAACATTTCAAAGACCCGGGAGTGGGCCTTGCAGGAGTTTTCCCTTTAATTCCTTTAGGAAAGAATCTTTGTCCTCCTTTCTCCAAGTATCTTACCGAAGAGGTTTTTAGATGATTTACTGTTAACTACATTTCTTTTTTGCTACAGATTTTCAGCACAGTGTTTGAAGCGTTTTAGAGTGACACTATACTGTACTTCATATTTATCAACTCTGTATCTTTTCCTTCAGATATGAATATGCTTACTGTGATGACAAGAGGCAGCCTGGCCTCTGTCTGAACTCTTCACTCCAATTCTGCTTTCTGCACACTTCGAAAAGGCGAAAGCCTGGAATAACTTAGCAGATCTGTAGCAAAACTTGCAAGACTTCCCTACCACTACTGTTAGCACTTGTATGCAGAGAGCTCTTAAACATTGCAAGTGTATCTGGATGAAAGTTTTTAGCTCTACCTCCACTGGTAGTGTTCGACTCTGGAGTGTTAGAAATATCCAGCAAGGACCCAATAGAAAGCGAATGTTCAGCTGATGGCCTCTTCCGAGGAGGGAATGGCGACATGTCTGTTTCTCTGGTCAGTTGTGCAAGAGTCTCTTTCAAACGGCGTCTTTTGCGATTGCTGTTTGGAGTGTTCAGAGAAAGTAATGACACAGACTTCTTGAGGCCAGGACTCTCCGACTGTAGTAAAAGAAGGTTTATTTCAGCGTTTTTACCCGCTGGGTCCAGCTCAAGTCAGTGCAAAGGTAAGTTAATTGTAGAGACCAGCACACAACACCAGTCTTCTTAGGGAAGCTAAGGGAAAAAGGGCAAAGCCCTCCTTTGTTTTTTTTCCTGGAAACTGGAAGCCACATTAATATTTTGTTTGACGAAAAATAAGTTCAACCTTTGGGAAGCAGAAAAAAAGTTTCTTCTAAATTAGTATTCTATGTATAGAATTTATAATGAATTAACTGGAACTTAAAATGCTACTTTAAAACATTTTATCTCTGGCCCCATGCATACTACCATGTATGCTAATTTTACCACCAAATACATGCTACACATTATGTGAGAGAGTTCAACATACCTTCTCAAATAAATACATGGACTCTCCAGCTCTGGCATCCATTTGAATGCTTCCCCAGAACCACTAAAGGAAAAAAGAAAACACGCATTAACACCACATTACAGTGCTTCACCCAAAGTTAAAAATATTCAAAATAATACATATAATATTAAGGCAGCTTGCATACTAAATGCAAACATGTGGTTTATTCAGGGGAAAAATATCTCACATACTGAGTATTACATAGCAATATTCTTTCAAAAATTTGTCAGCACTAACCTCTTGCTTTACGACATAAAGTTTTTTTAAAGGTTCAAATGGAAGATCTTTTACTGTACTTTCTTCAACCACCAAGTGCGTACACCTTTCATCACCAACTGGTAAATAATGCCCTCCTAGATAAAAAAAGGCAAGTTAGCAAGACTGAAGAATATTACTGTTAGAAATTAGTAGCTCATTTGATAGTTCTGTGGCACCTATCATTAATGAAAGGAGAGCCAAAGAGAGATGAACTATTCGGTGAGCTGATCAGTTGTGGGGCTTACATAACACCCTGGATATAATCAGCAGTGGATAGCTTTTAGGAAATAGGATGTAGCACGCAGTAGTACAGTACACACTGAAAAGTCAAGAGTGCCTGGAGTTCAGAGGGTTCTTAAACCTGTCTGGCAATAAATGCAATATTCTTCTGGAAAGCTTTTCTTGTTTCTTGAGCAAGCCAGGAATACTTACCCTAAAGACAACCCCAAGCTAGACCCTGTGCATGTCACAATACTATAAGTAGCTTTAAGCAAACAGGTGAGGGGAAAGGAAAAGAAAAAAAAAGCAAACCCAGTCAACTTTCATCTCCTTAGACAAAGCCTACCAGTTTGCCCCATTCCCATCTCTACAGTTCTGTTACATGCAACTCTAGCAATACAAGGCTGGAGACTTTAAAGTTATCTGTTCCATCATTAGTGTCAATATGATTATTGATCTTGTACTACACTATCAAAAAATGGAACACTTCCAAGCAAGTGTTTTACCAGTGATGATTCATATCAAAGTTGTGGATGCTTTCTGTGAGTTATGTAAAGATGCATACCACAACAGTGATTATGAAAACTGATGCAGAATATACACATTACGTAGCAAGTTCTCCAGGATATCTTCAAGCATCCCATAATTACTTCTTTTTAAATTGCCTAGTTTCAATCAGCCTAGGAAGTCTGAAGTCTTCAACAGCTACCAGAACTTACATGCACACGACACCTAAAAATTAATTTATAGCTCTCCAAGTTGAAGAGTATTCATGATCCAGCATTTCAGCTTCACTGAAGCACTTATCAGCTATAAACCCCATTCTTTCCACAGGTCTACTTTCATAAACAATAACCTTGCATTTCTGTCATTTCTTCCATGTTAGCTTTCTCATCATCAGAGAATCCAAGGAAACTTAACATGCAATCCTGGAAAGGAGGAACCTTGAACTGATTTCTGAAGTCATCATCAGCTGCACAGAAGTCACTGAAAGAAAAAAAAAAAGAAAAACCAAAAAAAAAGATAGAGATGCACAAAAAGGTCACTAAATCAGTGCTACATCACTAAACAAAAGCTCACAACACTACAGGTGAACAGGATGTAAGGTTCAGGCTGAAGGAAAATAAACACTTACATTTCATTCCTTTTCTCCCAAGCCTTATAAATCCACTCAGCTTTCACAATAGGAGTACCAAGACTTACAGCAATCTACAAAACAGGAAAAGCACAGGTTGTACCAAGTAAGTATTTCCATTTAAGTCTTTCCCATGCCAAGAAAAATTAGTAACCTTGCTTTTACTTTTTTAAACAGATACTACAAAAAGTGAACATATTCCTTCAAGAATCATGTCCAACTGTAACTCCCAAGAGTTAGAATGTATTAATTCTTCAGCAACTAGGAGATCAGATCAATAGCTATTTTGACACTTACTCAAAAGTGCACCATTTTGTTAGTCTGATCACCTTCATCACCCACAAAACCAAGTCTCTGTTGCAGTGGAATATGGGATCTTTTTTCTGCTTTTGATACTTTGTATGACAACAAATATCCTAGCATGCTTTTACCAAAGAGGAAGCAACTATTCCAAAGGTAACTTCCATGACTGCTTGAGAGATTGTAAAGTTTTCTTAATTTTTCCCTTTGAGTTGGCAGAAATGAGTGTTTGAACAGAGTTAGAAAGCTGGTCTTCTCTTCCAACTGGAAGATAAGACAGACTAAGAAAAAAGCAACAGCCTACTAACAATTCAAACAAGGGAGAGTCAAGGGACATAGGCATTGCTATGTCATGTTCCATGGTACAAAAACCTATAAATTTGTAATTACCTGTCAACTGGACATACATATCCTGAAGGATTCCTTTCTGGTGTTGTCAGAAACAAACAAACAAAAACCTCGCATATATTTATACATAAGGGATGATTTGAACACTTATACATAGCAAGTTAAAAATAATTTTTGAAAGAAGATGCACACAAATTGAGTACTGAAGTTTTTTGCAAGTTACCTCGAAGTTTATGGTTTGGAGGGACAGAAAAAGCAGGTATGTTGATACATAAACACTTGTTCATTGAAGAACGATTGTTCATCAACATCTTAAGTACCAATAATATCAGTACATGAATGGCTTAAGTATCTTAAGTACTGATAACATCAGTACTTAAGAAACATTTTGGTTCTTGTTATTTACTATACTTGTCTATTTCAAAATCTCTGCATTCAGGCAATTTATATTATTTAGATCTCTAACAGAGGCAAAAACATGTCAAAGCTCAACACCAGAGATGAGCTCACCATTACAAGTCATTGTTGTTAGTACAGGAGAAAATGCAGCAACTTACAAGCTGAAGTATAAATTACAGACTTAGTCTACAAGAGCCAAATTCTTAAAGTTTCCATGAAGTACCAGCTCAAGCTTACATACTCTGAATTTGTCTCCATGCGTTGAGTTAGCCACCAGATGTGTAACTTTTGAGCTAAAGTCCCTTCGAATAATTCCACCCATATGATGGACCAAGGTCACTAGCTTAACCTGAAAAATAAAAATGAAATAAGTTTTCAGGATATCTTTTGAAGTGTACAGTGCAGAGTGAGAGCAGTACAAAAATAGTTCACACAGCAAGCTACAGGAGGCTACATTAAATGTCTAGGAATAGTAATGCTCCGATTTCTTCTTAAAACAACTTGTTTACATCTACAGGAGAAGATATAGCTGACAGAGCAAAAGAACTCTTAACTTTTTTTTTCTTAACATTTAATACAGCCTTGCTACGTAGCTTGAGGAAGACTACCCAAGCCACCAGCACTCTCGTCATAATCATACATAATGCCTTCAACTTTTCACACACAATAGATTTGAAGCATGGTTTCCTCATTGATTTAGTCAATTCTACCTGAAGGGGCAATTGCCAGAATTTACATAAAATTGCCATTTGTTCAGTGTGAATCTAGCAGATCAGACCTAATTATACCTAACACTGGGCAAAGGCTTTTGTTTTGGGTTTGGTTTTTTTTCCCCAGATGAAGATGTGGAGCCATATTATTGATTCCCAGGTGTCCAACAGGGAAATTAGGTGCCAACTGCATCACTGGAATGGAAAAGCAAAGTGCTAGAGTATCAAACCACTTCATACCTAGATAGTGCAAGACCAAAGTCCTGATAGCACAATAGCAAAATAGCATGGCAGCAAGGTAACTTGTCTGCAAATGCTCCGAACAGGACTACAAAGCTTTATTTGACCACACTACTAGCTGTACAAATAAGTGGACACTATTGGGTAAATATCATCCTAGCTGAAGCCTCAATCTACCAATCTTTTAGCCCTGCTAAATTAGACCTGTTTAATGTTACCCAGCAAAAAAGTAACCAAACCCAGCATGGACAAAATGACTTGGACATGGAAACAGTTTTGTTCCCATCCTCAAATATCACTGCCTGTGCACATGCAACAAAACAAAAGAACAAACAATTCACTCCTCCCATACGAGCTCCAGTCATGGTTAAACCCTATGAGTGACAGAATAGAAGAGTATTTTGAAAATAAAGTTAACATAGTTTTACCAATCCAAAGGAAAAAAAGTCTTACTAATTCATCTTTCTTTCTGAATCCTGTAAAGCACAGTACCAAGTTCAACATGCTTGCACAGTACAGTGGACGACAGGAGAAAGGTAAAGGCTGAAAGCAAGAAGTAAGCTTATTAGTCAAAAGCATACTGCTTCTGTTAAAGTTTTATCATTACCTTTAATACAGTACTATTGTTCCTAGTATTAAAATGCATCAGACACTACTCCAAGTCTGTGTACTCAGTTATACCGCAGCTCCAGACCTGCCAGTGTTCTAATAAAGTAACCAGAGCATCCCCAAATTCCACAGGTCGCACTCCATCCTTTTTTTTTCCTCCCCAATCCATCCCCTCTGTGTGACAACCTTTGGAAATATCAAGCATCTGCTGGAGCATCATTTGTATGCTGCCTCTCCTAATGGCACAATCCCAACTAGCAGGTCAACAACTCCCACAACTACTGCAGTAATTGCAGCCTTACTACTGTCTGCCTGTGCTTTCTCGCTACATGCAGTATTCTAACATGGTATTAGAAACTTGCTTTTCTTAAAATTCTCTTGCTAAGACTATTTACGATTGATTGACAAAGCAAAATAGATTTTATTTTGAACACTTCGTGTTTAGAACTCACTGCACCAGAGAGCTACTCAGCTGATTTCAACAGAAAGCACATACCTCTCCTTTTTGTGCACAGTGCAGTACTACTGGAGGTCCAATGACACGGCAATCTGCTTTGCAGAGCTTGTTAAAGATAGAATCTTGGAAGTCTGATACAATGAAGATAGTCTCAAATTCTGGGGAATCAGAATCTCCAAGCTCTTCTACTGTGTCTGTCTTTATGTAGGGCACTTTAATTTCCTTGATGTATGGGGATGAAGGGGAAAGCATTATTCAGGCAACATACTTACACCAAAGTTAAAATTCAACTGATGTTTATTTTGGACCATTAGAAAAATGTACAGTTCAGATTTAAACAGAGACAGGCTCTTAGAATTTGTGAAAGCGGAATGAGATGCACTGATCGCTAGCATAAGAATAGCTATGAACTGCACCTAAAAAATGTCTTCAAGCAATTCCTGCTTCTGAAGGACAAGAATTCTAGTTACTTTAGTAGTTTATGTATCAGTTCACACTGATAATATAGTATTGGAAATATCTACAGATAGAAAAAAGGAAAAAAACACAACAAAAGCACCAAACTAAGCACAAAAGAGAAATGAAATTTCAGACTGTCAGAACAGCTTAAGGTACTTCCAGATACTACTAAAAAGTAGTATCCAGCTTGCAACAGCAAGCTCCGTGCTGCATAAGATCTAAAGAACAGAAGTCAATTTTGTTCATTGCTTGGTATTTTTTAAGGGTTCTAAAAATCTGGTCTGTTTCAATTACAATCATTAGTTCCAAATTTTATTTTCTAGGTTTTTCACATCAAGAAACAGAGAACCACTTCTTACACTTAAGTTTAAATGGAGCTCTCAATTGAAAGAGAAGTCAATTAACCAATTACGAAGTCAGTTCATAGCAAAAACTTATGTGTTGACTCAATACAAGCATGCAGTTGAAAGTCTCCGTCAATATTTCTACCCCCCTGTTAGAAAACACCACTAATTAAGAGCTGCAGATAGTACTTCCATATTCGAGAAAGTGTTTGTAAAAAAGGCCAATTTTGACAAGCTTAAGTGACACCATCAGATAGATTAACATACATTGTGACCATTATGCCCAATTAATACAAATTAAAGCGTGTGCACATTTCAGTCCCAGTGAAGTACAACATGCTGCATGCAATCACATGTGCTTAATTGCATGACATACCATATGAATAATACTTTTTATTAGTTTTTCTTCTGATTTACCAGGACTAGTTTCCTTTATCTTTATAACTGGTACTTCCATTATCTTAATGGTCTGTGGAAGAGCAGAACTTTAGTACAGAACCAAATTGGTTACTAGAAGTCTAAAAGCATACCGTCTCATTCCAGTGATTGTTTTATCTTAGACCCACGTACCTCCAAGGCTTTCAGAAGCTCCTCACGTTTCCCTGCTTCCTGAACCAAAACCACTCTTGTTTCTATTTGAGGCATTTCTTCTGTTTATAGAGAAACAAGGATAATATTCGTATTTTAATAGAAAAATCCACATTAGGTCTAAATCAAGCAATAACATATAGAAGAATACAGGCAGACTGCATCCTTTCAAGATACCCTGTTTATCAGAAACAAGCCTGAAAATAAATGTTACCTCAAAAAGCCTGTCCCTTAATTAAGGCATACCCAACTGACCACAGAGCCTAAACTTTCTTGTATATGGTGAAACAAGATCCTGCAATTCATGACCACTTACCTCACAGTCAAAGCAAGAACATGCAAGGAGAGGCAGTGAGAGGGAAAAAAAAAATTAAAAATAAAATTTAAAAAAAAACAGACGTAACACCACCAAAATTATTGGCTTAATGTTTCTAGCAGAATTAGATACCAAGACTTGCTGGAAAACAGACAGCTGGTATCTCGTCTAGTTTCTGAGTTCCTGGCTGACAATGCTCATTACTTCCTAGTAACTGCTCAGTTTCACCAAGGAAGATCAGAACTGAAGTTCGATATCTTGTTCTTTTTCTCCATGTATTAATAAGCTTTCAAAGTATTAGGAGGAAGGGACAAGCGTTGCTCCACGTCATTTGCACCAGAAGACTGCCACTGGACTTTGGCTACTGTTGTTTTTTTAATTTCAAGATTTGTTCTTGAATTAATTTCAAGCTCAAGACTATTCATCTCTCTAAGGTCTACCCATACACAACGGAGCAGCTGTCGTTTCCAAACACCGGTGTCAAAATATAACCTGGAATGATTTATTCCACAGAAGAGTCATCAAATGGAACTAATAGTTTTCTATACATCAGCCAGAAGACTCATCTTCTGTATTTGACCTCATGGCTGTAACCCCAAATTTCTATAACAAGACAAGTTAAAAATTAAGACAATTCCTTTCTTTTGTTGAAAGGATATCAAACCAACACCATACTGGCTACCCTACATACAATTCTGTAGTTCAGCAAAGCGCTTTTGGTCTTTCAAAATTACTAAATACGTACAAATTAATCAGTCACTACAAAAACATAGTAGTCTTAAAATAAGCTTCTCCCATTACCTTCAACATCCAAAACAGATCCAGGAAACGCATTGTCTTTGGAGGTTTCTATAATTTTTGAATCAAGAACAGAAGAATCAGCCAAGAGGCTCCTCCCAGTTTCAGACACCAGCGTACTGTTGTCAGCCATGATTATGTCTTGGTTCTTCAACAGCTAGAAGATGGATGTGCTAAACTAAGTTACAGTTGCAAAAAGCTCATTAATGAGAGCCCTATGACCAAGGTAGTCAGAAGTAACTTCAGACTTCTGAAAACAAAACATTTAGACCACTCACACTGATAAGAGTGGTTCTGAAAGAGTATTAGGAGTCACACAATTGGTAGGAAAGACTGACAACAAACCTGTTACAGAAATGGTTGTGAGCAGGCTGCCTAGCACAGAAATTATTTACACAGAAAGCTGCAGAGAGGATACTTCAACTCTGAGCAGCAGGGAAGCACTAACTCTAGTGTTCATTTTTTAAAGTTTCATCACAAAACACCAACAAACTAAAAGCACTTGTTTGCTTCAGTGATAAACTATTATAAGCTAGATTTGAGACCAAGGTTAACGTTGTTAAAGTGAAACATTAGCAGAAGAATTAGGGTACACAAAGCAGCTTGCTAAAATTTGATTTTTCAGGTCAACTGGCTAGAGTTACTGTGGTTGCATAAAAATGACCACCCAGGAAGTAAAGCCAGCAGTATTTACTCAAAGAAAAATTAGGTTTCTCAAAATGCATGAGTATTTGCAAAGCTAATAAGGATATGTCTATTCATATGATCTAGTCTCTTGTCCTAGATTAACTATAATATAGAAGAAGTATCCATTCATCATCAGATAAAGAGGTCTTCTGTCTTCTCAGATAGACTATATCTGTGCTCTCCCTGCGCAAACAAACTTGTACAAAATGAGAGGAAAAAGAATTCTGCCTTTCCAGTATGTGACAGGTAGCTACCTGAATCTTGTACCAGAAAATTTGTTCCAAGACACCTGGCCAACATGTAGCACATTTTCTTTTGTGCGTGAAGCAAGAAACATACATTTCCTGTGACTCATCATTCACACACATTTAAATATTTGCACTGTGATATCAGAAGTTACCTAGAATACGCACTGTATCTGAACTGCTGCAGTATAACAACCCTCTGTATCACTTGAGCTGAAGTCATTCTCCTCATGACTGTAAATGCCCCTTTAAAAGAGTAGCCCCCCAAATAACACATTAAAGCACTGTCTGAAAGAGAACTGACAAGGTAGTAAAACCCCTAGAGAATTGCACATACTATTTTTCAAGTTGTGCAATGCCTGTCTGATTACACAGCAAAGTAAAAATCCAAAGACAAAAAACAATGGGTGTTTTGGCATAACAGCAATATAGAAAAGAGTTTATCTTCTAGATTTTAGGAGATCATGACTGAGACTCTTGGACAGGATTCACATCTTCCTAATACATCAAGTAAGTTCCTACTGTAGCGATGAGCAATAAGTCAACACTACAAATCTATCATAATTCTAAGCATATTCAGTCATCAAAATTGCCACCTTAGCTGCCATTTTGACATCATGCACAGCTGTGGAGGCTCCACAGAATTAAGGTTCCTAGCAGTAAGTCCCAGTCACCCAGCTAGTTTATCTCAGAATAGCTTGAGACCTAGCAAGAGGAGAAAGTAACTTTAACCGGAAAGTCTTTAGGGATCACCTATCCAGAAGGTTATGAAGGTACCACAGGGAACTGTCACACAATTACCTCTTCTTTGGCAGTAAGGGTGGAAAGAAGCATAATCTTGGAAGAGTCAAACCATATTGTTAATAATGATTACCACACAGACATAATTTATAAGTCAAATGAGACAAAAAAAAAAAACCCGCCAGTTAAGGGTACCATTAAAAGTAAATCCTACAGATTATTTTTAAAAAGACTGAGACATCATTATCATTCCTGTCATGCTGCTGTTGTTTTACCTAACAACGCGTATATGAACGCACACTTACACAGAACTTCACAGTATCTTTGGGAGAAGCCCATACTTTGGGCTGGGCATTGATTTTCTTTATGGCTTTTCCAATTTATTTATTTATGGAGTTCCATTCTGGATGTATTTTTTAAAAAATATATTCCCTGTTTTAATAGTCACATATTAATTAACAACATAATCCTAGTCACTAGATTTACACACTGGGAGTGCCAAGATAAGGAAGAGAACAAACAGCACACAGAAGATACAAACATAACAGTTTCCCCTCACATAAAAAAGAACAAAAGGCAGAACACCATCACTACAGCATTCAGGCCGACCTGAACGCCCTTAACAGCGTTACACTTACAAACGACCTCCCAATAGTTTCCGTGAAGCCTGAAGGCCACAAAACATCCACACGCCAAAATACGTTTTTAAAAGCAAGGAGACGACACTAAGAACCTTCCCACGCTGCCCATTTCCCTCCCGAGGAACCACCCAGGAGCCTGACCGAGCTGCCCTGCTGGGAGGTGGCCGGAGGCAAGATTAGATACCGCCGGCTACTCTCACCTCATGAGCTCGCAGGTGCCAGAGGGCCTGGGCCTCCGCCTTGCCCAGCGGAGACCGCTAGCGGCCTAAAGAGGGCCCGGAGCAGCACCGAGCAGCGGGGCTGCCCCGAGAGACCCCCAGACACAACCCCCGGGCCCCCTCAGCCGGCCCCGGCCCAGGCCGCCCGCACCCACCGCTGTCCTCCTCGGCCTCCCCCAGCCCTACCCCGGCCACACCCGCCCGTTCCCGGTATCCAGGGCCAGCTTCCCGCCCGTTCCCGGTGCCCAGGGCCAGCTTTCCCCTCACCGCCGATGCCACCTGCCGCCAACCGCAAAACCAGCCTCCGCCATGAGCGACCGCCACCACCAATTCAAAAAGCGAGCCGCCGGACTAACCGCGCCAAGCATTGGCTGCCGGCCACGCCGCCCCTCTGTAAGCCACTACCTCATTCGGCATCTCTCCGAGATGTCCCGCCCCCTTCCCCGCCCTTTTTGGACGGCGCTTCGCCTCCTGCCCTCTCTGACTGGCTAGCGCACCTGGCGCTCACGGCTGGGCGGTCTCCCATTGGCGGTGGGACGTTTCCTAGGCAGACGAACAGGCCTCGTTGGGGGAGCCGGTTGCTGAACGGGTGGGCGCTCTGCGCTGATTGGCTGCTGGAGGGGTTCGAACGCTTCCAACGGCCGCAGCGCAGAGGCCCGGATGGAGCGGCGGCGGCCCGGATGGGGCGGCGGGGGGCGGCGGCGCTCCCCCGCCGCCTCCGCCGGTCTGAGGCGCTGCCCGGATCCCGGCCGGGGAGCTCCGGAGCCGCTTGAACAGCCGTCCCGTGGCCGCACGGAGACAGCGGTTAACGGCCCGCAGCGTGTGCCGGGGGGAAGCTCGTCCCTCGGCGGAGACTGGCGGGGGGGGGGGCCCCCCCCCGGCTCCCCTCAGCCCGCCGGGCCTGCCTTGCCTGTCCGTCGCTCCCCTCACCGCCTCCTGAGGGAGGCCGTCGTGTCGTGCACAGCGTGTCCAGCTGGCCTTCCGACCACCTTTGGGCACCGCGCAAACGGGAGGATAAAGACTTGCTGTGGCCACCGTAGAAATATTAATGCTGTTAATAAGTCAGTAAGCGCTGCCTTGCCGAGGGTGTTTGTGTGCGTGTGTTATGCTGAGCTTCAGAATAATCAGTTCATTGGAAACGAGGGAAGAGAGCTGACAGGAGAAAATATGACTGGTCAAGATGACAGTCAACCAGCTGACTCAGTGGCACCAATCCCAAAACACATTAATTATACCAGATGCTTTCTCCGTCCTTCTTAATTTTCTCACGTACTAAAACTTGCTGATCTGGAAAGGAATTCTTTCACAGGGGCTCAGCATCTCTGACACCTGATGTAGCAGTGTCCACTGGACCAATGTAAAAAGAAGGAGAGAGAGATTTTCTATATCTAGAATTTTCTATTATATGCTAAATTCTTATATGCCAAACTGAATCTGTAGATCTTGCTTTTTTTTTTTTATACTACAGATTTTTATTAGTTCAGGTGTTTTCATGACTGATCCAGCAGCGGTTACTGCCAGTAAGAGTCCATTGACTTTTTATGATCTGGAAGAAAAGCAGAATAGGAAAGAGCGGAAGAAGCATTGTTTATGTGAATAAAGATTTGCCGGTGATGTACATGTAAATTAGGACTATTTTCTTGAGGAAAAGATTTCAGAATAACATCCTGCAAACCAAGGAGGTAATTTCTATTTTGACACTTGAGTCAGCCAATTATTACACAGTCCTACAATTACTTTTATTTCACATAGAGTAACTGCAACAATGACTTACAGTCAAAACACAGCCTAACCCGAGGTCCTTTTGTCACCTTGAAGTACCAGTTTGGGCCACCATTTTGCAGTTCCAGGTCAGGCCAACCTTCGCTGGCTTTGCCCCTGTTCTCTCCTTTCTTTGCACTCTTACAAAGTCCTTTTCAGCCAGGTCTTCAGTTTCCCTCACACCCTGAACCACGGACCAGGTTTCTCCTAGGATTGGAACAAGTTCTGCAGTATTGGAGTCAACATTGTTTCTGCAGTGTAGTTTCTGGGAAAGGTATTGGTTATTGTACATTAATTTCCACTTAACCTCGAGATCCTCAAAAAAGCTATATAAAATGTTGTGCCTGCAAAGACAGGAGAAGCATATTTATCGGGGCTGAGGATTAACAGGTGATATATATGCATTGCTTCTCAGTTAAAGTTTAAAAAGAACGTGATACCTAAACGTTCGGTACATAAATAGAGGCTCACTACGCATATGGAGAGTGGCTTGGGCATTAGCCATTTTCTTAATATACTTGAAGATCCAGAATTACAATCTCATAAAGCAATTAGGGTATTCTGATGAACCATCTTAAGCTATCCTTCCTGGGACCGACAGAACTTAGACAAGTCTGTTTTAGGTAGTAATCAACTTAAGAGGGGAAGATTTTTTTTAATCAAGTGCATTTATTCTCACTGAAGTTTAGATCAGGACTGATGACAAGACTAATTACTATTCTTTATATGTCTGACATTTAAAAGTCTAAGTGTTTTTCTTATAAAAGGTTCTGAAATAGAAACACCTATTATTTTTTGTTGTGTGAAATGTAACATGCAGTTGAAACTTGCTGTTCCTCCCAGTTATCTAGACATCAGTAACGCAGGAGTATAGCATTTATTTTAATAGTTAAATAGTTCCCTCTCACAGTAACACCCACAGGGAGAACGTTCCAGGAGATTAAATCATTATGTGAATCCTGTCACATCAGCTTTGTGGGAGCGGGGATCTCATACCTTGTGGAAAAAGACAATGAGGCCACATCAGAAGAGCTGATGGGACCCCAAGGGGCCTGAAGGAGACCTTGGTGCCCTGCTTCCTCTCTGGAAGCTGGCTGTCTAGCAACTGTTTCTTCAGGGTGTGAGTTTATGTCGGTAGACTGCTTGTCCCCTAGATACCTTGCAAGCGTTTGGGGGTTTAAATTTGTTGGGTTTTTTGTTGGGTTTTTTTTAATGAAAGGAATCTTTCTCGGGCCACAGTGTTTTATTTTTTCAACCAACTGGCTTCTTTATAAGTGCCTGGAAAAAAACAGCTTTGTCAAAGAGCTATTATTGATTCAGTTTAGCCAGAGCAGTAGCTTTCAAAATGCAAGGAAGGGGAGAGATCAAGCACAAGATGTATGTGGGGGTCAGTGGGAACATGAGAAACCTCAGAAAAAGTCCATCTAGCCTGTTTATCTCTTTTTCAAAGGGGTAAGTAGATGAGAGAGGAGTGGGACTAGACCCAGTTTCGCCAGAGGTTTGGGAACATTGTTTTTTGTTGAAAGAGACAGGTACAAATTCTTACAGTCAGGGATCCTAGGTGTGGAGTTTAGGGGCAGATGCTTGGGAAAGCAAGGGAACGGGAGCACGCAAAGGAAAGGAGGCAGGGGAGCAGGGCACAAGGTAAAAGAGAAGGTGTGAGCGCAAAATAATGCACAAAGGGATGATTCAGTATAAAAAGCTTGAGACCTCAGGAATCTCACCATGTGCTGCCTTCTTCACAAAGCTTCTTTCCAAACAGCCCTTTCACATCTGTAGTCTACTCAAAACTGAGTGAAAATTACAGAAACTCCATCTGCTGTTGTTACAAAAAAAGGTTAAAGATGCTCGAGAGTCTTAGTTCCTCACAAATTCCAGAAACTTTCTTCTGCAGCCTTTAGAATCAGCGAGGTTTTACTTCAATTTCAGTAAAGCTGTCTTAACAGCTGACCTTTTACTTCTTAGAAACATATTTTTCTTTTATTACCTTTTCATGTCAATTTTTAAAGGAAACTTGTCCTTTCCAGGACTCTATTTAGATTTCCGTGTGACTTTTTAGTATTACGAATTTGTTTTTAAAAGCAATGTTATTGTCAAAAAAGCGCTCATTCTTTTTTTCTGCATTAGATTCATAGTGCATGTGAATCTGGCTATTCCAATAAATACTTTAATTTGCTGAAGACAGGACTGCGCCTAAGTATTAAGTAGTCACTTGTGTCAAGGCTGAACTCTATAGTGTTTTATATTTCCTGCGTGTTGGGGATGAAAATTTTCTCGTCTTAGGTGCAAGAAACGTTCCTGTGTTAAACCAAAATTTGTTACTGACCTAGGGTAAAAAAAAAAAAAAAAATCCCAGTCCAAAATAAAATTACAAAATAAAGGTACTTTAAAAAAGTCTCCTTTCCGGAATTGTTTTGTGATGTGCTCAGTGGGAAACGGTACGGTTTCTTCAGCTAAAATAAGGGCGTCCCCGGGTTCCTCCTGGAAACACCCTGGATCGGGGATCCTCCCGGACTGACTGGCATCGATCCCCGTTACAGCCTTCATCTCACCTTCTCAGCGGAGAAAGGCAAACTCTGCCCGAACACCGACGTTCCCGTTCTCTTGTCGGCAAAGAGCTGCCACGGCCCACGTCTCGGGGTGTCACAACCCCTAAAAACGGACACCGGTGGGGTTGGCGGGTGGGTCGTGCTCGCTGCCGCCCAGCCCAGCCAGCCCACCCAGAAGCTTCCGCAGCCCGAGGTGGGCGAAGGGA